AGACGCGACGATTCCACTTTTAGTTTATCTATCCCTTTTTTATTATTTTTTTTTTTTTTTTTTTTTTGCTTGATTTAATAATCAAAAGAAAATTTCTTTTTATAACGAGATTGAATTGAAAGAGAAGAAGAAGAATAATAAAAATAATAATCAGGGAATGATGAAGAGAAATTTTTATCGATCCGATCAAACTCTCTCTCGTGATAATTTAATATTTAAAAATATTATTATTATTATTATAAATATATATTAAATATATATGTAAAACATGTTGAGCAGGAACCAAAAATTGTGAGTTAAATATAAGTAAAGTAAATGATTAGACATTGTAAAAAACTCTGTAAGTTGTGCAGTAAAACACTCTTTTTTATATTTTTTTGTTTTATTATTTTGTTTAGTTTTGTTTTTTAAATTAAAATTCACCAGGTAATATTATTGGAATAATTGTATTTCTACGTTGAAAATTTCATTTCAATAATATTCGTAAGTTTCTTGTATTACATCCCCCCCCCCCCAATTGAAATCGTTGTATTATACTTCGACTTTATTTCAATGAAATTTAATCCTAGTAAAATTTGCACTTCGTTCTTAGGTATATTTGCTCATACTCGATCAACTGTATCTTATTGGAGCCCTTATTATTACCTTCTTCTTAAACTTCTCATCTTCATACTACTAACCTTTTTATTAAAGTTCTTAATAACTTTTTTTGTTGACAACTTGAACGATAATTAATAATAAAATGATATGATAAAATATTAAATGACATTTAATAATCATAAGTTTCGAATGCTATTGTTCTTTTTTTTTCTTTTTTTTTAGGGGATCAAAGGATTTGTTTGAATTAGTAATATTTAAAAGACACAACGAAAATAAATCGAGGATAAAATTGTATTTCGCATTTGGTGATTTATTCGATCGAAATTGACGACAATGTTACAACTTAATAATAAATTATACGTATTCATTACGACAAAATGATTTCTTTGGTTTTTTTTTTTCCTTTTTGTTTTTTTTTTTTTTATTTAAATATACGCTCATCCGAGATATATTGTGTTATATTTTGCATACAATTCTTTACCTTGTTAGTTCTTTTTTATTTTTTTTATTTTGCAAAGCACACGTCGTACTGTGATTACATTTTAAAAGTTTAATTTGTGAAAAAATAATTCTTCATTTCGAGTTATTTTGATTGCAACGAAAAATAACACACTCCTCGACATTTGCATATCGAAAAGAGAAAAGTTTTCACGCAATGAATATTAATAAAATGTTAAATAACCCTTTTATAAACTACACCTTGATTTGAAATTATAAATGATATCCTTTTGTTATATTACATAACACATTAATTAATTAATTAATAATATTGTCAGTTCGGGTATACAACTTTTGGGACATCCTGTATAAAAATAACAATGCTATTTTAAGATCGATGAACAAACAAACAAACAAAATGGATGGCAGTGCAACGATAAGCGAGTGACATTTTGTATCTTTTTTCTTTTTTCTCTTTTTTTTTTTTTTTTTACATTCTCTATCTCTTTCTATTTTTCTTTTTTTATTTTTCTTTTTCTTTTTCTACTCGTAATAAGTGATTCTTTATTATATATTACATTGGACACACGAAATTTACAAATTGGAATAAATAATTATATCTTTTCGCGTCGATTTTTATAATAATAATAATTATCTTATAATTATTCATATATATATATATATAACATCAGATTATATTTCTCACTGATTATTATTATCATTTAAATAATTTACAGCCGGATGTATGAAGAGCCTATTTGTTATAATTTGTTTTAAAAAATTGCAAAAATTTTCTCCGTTCTTTCTCGTAATAATAATTTTACAAATAAGTTATACAAAAAAAAATTTGTTGCGTTTGTGTGTATTTTTCTTTTTTTTTTTTTTTAATTATTTTATAGCATTAACAATAAGTTAGATTATAAGAAAAATTCGTGCCAAGTGAAATTTTTTGAATAATAAATGAAACGAATAGTACGCGTTATCGTTTGCATTCATTTCACAAAACCACATACATCTAGAAAATATTTATATATTCATATTTATCTACAAGGTGTTTCATAATAAGTGATATCTACTTCAGGAATGATGAATGATAATAAAAAAAAAAATACGTGTAATATGTAGACTCTTTGTTTAAAAATTTACACAGACACAAATTCACTTTTGTGTTTCAATAATTCGCAAAATAATTTATCTTTGTGGAAATATAAAAGTTGTCCATTGTTTATTTTGAATATCCTATTTAATTCCTGAAATTACTTATTTACGGAACACCCCGTATGCGTTTGTGTGTGTATACGTGTAATCCTTGTAAAAAGAAAATTTATTCTACACAATTAACATCTATGTTAATTAGAATCATTAAAAACGAATATACGTTTATACGTTACACGTCATATTATTATTATTATTATTATTATTATTACTATAATTATTATTAATTCGTATTATTATTATTATTGTGTAGATAATATTTATACATATATTAAACGAAGTGGTGCGTCGAAATTACGTGCCGTTCATTTTATAATAGGATTACATGACTTTATCGGGTATAGTTAGTTTCTTTAAAAGCGAATAAATTTCGTCATCAATTAATCTTTCTCTCTATAATTTATTTCTTTATTTTTTTTTCTCTCTCTTCTTCTACTTCTTCTTCTTTGGAAATTTTCAGCGATTCGATTTTCCCCATTTTTTTTTTTTTTTTATTTTATTTTATTAACGTCGAAAATCTCTCTCGAACAGATTTTCTTCTCTTACATCTATTATTTTTTTTTTTATTACGTATTTAATTCTTTTTTCCCATCTTTTCTCTTTACTCTTTTATCTTTTAATTAATAATTAATAATTAATATTTTTTAAACGTTTGTTGAAAGATTACGTATCATTTAAATGCACCTTACCAATGATATGAATAAAATTTAAAGACAACATTTTCTTCTTGTATTATGTTACAATTACCATTAATATATGTGTGTGTATATTTATTATTATATACAAAGTAATAAGTTTGTATAAGAGTTGAATATAATAAGCGTTCGCTTGTATTATACATTTTTTTTTTTAATTGATTAATATATCATATATAATTTTGTTGAAGGAAAAGTAAAAAAAAAAAAAAAAAAAAGAAAAAAAAAAAAGAAAAAAAAAAGTAAAAAAATCTACAAAGTAATTTGATTCTCACGTATGTTCACAAGCTGTACGACAAAGTTTATTTTCTATATTTATTATAGCTAAATATATTATCTTATTATACGTAATATGTTATAGGTAATTAATTTTGTTTATATATATATGTATATATATAAAAACAAAAAACAAAAAAAATAAAGAAATTGATTAGAACGAGTAGGATATGCAAGACTTTGCTCGTTTTTAACGACTAGTAGCCCCATTTTAAAACTCTTCAGTTTAAAGGTTTGTTTTTTTCATTCTCTTTCTCTCTCTCTCTCTCTCTCTCTCGCTCTCTTTCTCCCTTCCTCCCCCTCTCTTCGGCTGGAAACTTTTTTAATTACTTCGTTTTGCGCATAGTTCACTTTCTTCTTTTTTTTTTCTTTTTTGTTTTTTCTTTCTCTCCCCCAAAAAATTTGCCTACCTACATATGAAAAGTTTCCCTCGTAGTGATTCGAGGACGAAGAAAGAATCAAGTCCATCTGAAAGCATACGAAATAAAAGAGAAAAAAAAGAAAAACGAAATTAGAGAGAGAGAGAGAGAGAGAGAGAGAGAGAGAGAGAGAGAGAAAGAGAGAAGAACAAGGAACGAAAAAAAAAATAATTATTTTGTTTGTTCGATTGATTATTTTCCCCTTTTTTTTGTTGCCGTTGTTATTATTATTATTCGCTATGACGTAAGCAAAAAGTTTATTACAAAATAAAAAAGAAAAATAAAAAAAAAAAAAAGAGGAATTTAATCACAATACGCAGAAGAGAAAAACATGCGAAAATACAATACGAAAGGAATATATTATATTTCATATTATTAGCATAATTATATATATATAGAGGAAAGTATTTTAAAATAAAATATTTTACATTTTTAATAATTTGGTATTTCTCTTTTTTTTTTTTTTTATACGCGTAATAAAAAATAAATTATTTTTCAATTAAACAATAAAAGAAACGAAATTAAAGTATCGATATATCGATAAACGTAATTTATTACCAGTATAAAAATTCATTAAAATAAAATAAATGTGGAAATATAATCGAATTCGTTTTTTAAGAAAAAAAAGAAATTGTGTTCTCTTGTTATATAAATATTTGAATCATTTAATTCGCGTATCGATAATGTTTTTATATCATTTTATGTTCACTACGCTTGTCAATCTTCGCATATATAATGACACGACAGGAGAAAAATTAATTACAACTTTACAATAACTGTAATTACAAGTTGATGATTACTGCGTTTGACGTTCGATGACATGCTACGTGCATAAAGTGAAATTTCGTGATACAAATTACGTACTAATTGCAAGAAAGCGAAGCTGCCAAACATAGGAACACATAGTATATGTAGTATAATATATATATAATTATATACATATGTACATGCATAATTATATACTCTCTACAGAGACTGAGAATCTTAGACGTTCAATAAACGTTGAAAACTCTTTCAAGTATTAATAGATTATGTTCTGTGTGATCAGAAATATGAAAATTTTATTCATCGGAATCTTTTTTTCTGTGTGTTTTTTTTTGCTTTTTCGTTTCAACAAATAAAATAATATTTCTAATATTCCTTATTCTTTATTTTTCTCTTACAGTCTCGTCGTACAGGAAATAATTTTTAATCATTTCAAATAACCCGTTTCTTTTTTTCTTTTGTCATATATTCGTAAAATAAATTGTAATAAAGTAAAAAACGTATATGAAATTTTTCTACGATAGTACGAACAATAGGATTTGAATTGTATTTTTATTCGAATAAACAAACTCGCGTATAAAAAGATTTAAAAATAAATTCGAATATA